ACCGCACTAAAGGAAAAGCCAAGATCCCATTTGCTGGTGGGGGGGAGTAACCCTGTGCAGATTTTCTCTCTGAAAGTATGGGTGGGGAATTGGGATCATGCCTGCTGGCCCCAACCTCCATGCCTTCAGCAGAATGCCTATTCCAGACATGGGGTCCTTGGCAGAAGGGGTGTTGTGGAGCTATTACATCATGCTTTCCTTTAACGAATACTAGAAAAAAGATTGGAAGAAACTGGGAAAGATTCTGGGAACAGGTGGGTGATGAGCAGAAGACAACATCCTCTCCCCTCTACTACTAAAATTCTATGAATAAGGCAGGACAGTGATGCCATAAATGCCTGATCTGGAAGCACCCTGAAAGCAGCCCCTGAGAGATGAGGTGAGGCAGCTACTACTCTGCACAGTCCCTAATGATTTGGCATGGAAATTTTATAAGGCAGCCTTCCCCAACCTGGTGCCCTCTATATGTGTCAGACTATAACTAGCATCCCCATAGCTGCTGGAGGTCCTGGGAGTTATAGCCCCACACGTCTGGAGAGCATCAATTTAGGAAGTATGATTTAAAGAACTGTTTAATAGCAATAATCCTCTTTGTGCTGCTCATACCGGTTCTAAGCAACTATGTATAGTCTTCTCCCTCCTTTTGTTTTCCTACCATGGCTAGAGTGGATGAGAGTAATGGAAGCCTGTACCCTTAAAGCTGGGCTAGTATGAACAACAACAACTTGGTAGTTAGTGTGTTTCATGGGGGGCTGCTGAGATCTGTCTCCAACCTGCTGAGAGAAGAATTAGGAAAACATGGCAGTGGGATGCAGCCTGATGGATTGTAGCACAGAGAACTGTTCTCTTTTCATCCTTAGGTTAATAAAAGCTTTGTCCTGGGGTGTGGTGGGCAACCTTGGGCCTTTGTTCCCAGATTTAGAGTGGGGTGTGGGTGTCGTTGCTGTCACTCCTTGAGAACTCATCGGCTCTGGAGGCTTATGGAAATGCTGCAGGCCCTACCAGCTCTTCCCCTGCTGGCCACTGAGTTTGCCCAGGAGGACAGTATCCCTTTGTGCTGCCTGGCCCCAGAAAGCTCTCTTTGGTCAGAGCATTTCCTGCTATGAGCTAGTGACTAGTCCCAAAGGGCCCCTTGTTAGAGGACTGGATGCTTCTTGTCCTCCTCTCTTTTCTTGCCCTGGGCCCAACAGGCAGGGTCAGCAACACAGGGGGCCACAAGGCCAGCAACATTCTGGGCCTTGTTCTGAAGAAAAGGATGATTGTGCGTGGGCAAAAGGCACCATCTCAATGTGTCTTTGTCCAACAGAGAACTACAGATCCTGAATGGACAGAAGGAGCCCTACAGATTTTCCTCTGTTAGGCTGATTGCCAGTTTTTGCATTCAGAGATGTGAAGATTGGGAAGGACTGTTGAGATCGTCCAAATTTGGCTTCCTATGCAAAATGCAAAAGGAATGACTTCCTCCCATTTGTATTATGTCATGGGATTTCTGCAGTGTCTGACTACATTAAAACATCTTTCCAGGAGGAGGGCTGGCCTTCATCGGAAGCCTGCAGCTCTTGCTTATTTATTAGATGTGTACTCTGCCCTTCCTCCAAGACGGACAGAGCAGTGTTTTAGTCTCCCAAGAACCAGGCAAGGAGTGGGGGTGGGTGGGGGGTTAAGCTGCTGAAAGGATGAAAATTTGCTCCATGGCTGAGTTGAATCTGGCTTCCCTCATCCAAATCCAAAATGTTCTTGGCCACCACATCATGCCGGCTTTGGAGAACCACCTATCCTCTTAGCCTTTGGTGTTGTAATGGTTAATTGCCCTTGCTGTTTGAAATGCTGGACCTGATTAGAATTTGTCTAGTTTTAGCTTTTATTTTTATTGGCTGTTCTCTTCCCATTGTCTAGATTAAAGGGCTGTCTTGTGGTACCTAAAACCTTCTCCTCTGTGAAAGTACACTTCAATCAGTTCACCTCTTAACCTTCATTCTGATAAGATGAACAGGCTTGCATTTCTGATGTCTTTTGCTTTTTCGACAAATGCCTCTGTTTTTGAAATCTGACTGGTAAATGGACAGTGGAGCCTGAACTGGACATGGTGTTCACCATCTATTATTACTACATTGCATTTATATCCTGCCTTTTTATCTCTTGTGAGGAGCCCAAGGCAGCTTACATAGTTCTCTACTCTGTTTTTAGCCTCACAGCAACTATCCTGTGAGGTAGGTTAGGCTGAAAGCTTGTGAGTGGCCCGAAGTCACCCAGCGAGCCTCATGATCTCCCCAGTCCCCAGTCCTTCACTTTTACCACCACACTTACTCTAGCAATGATTGCTTCTCTGTTAATTTATTAAGAGAATTACTTTACTCAAATGATTTGAGCAGGTCTAATAAATCAGATTAAGTCATGCTAACATGCTGTGGTCATTGGTACCTTCCAATCCAGCAATCCTATTCCTGTTTCCTCAGAAGTAATTCCCTTTGTGTTCAAATAAATTTGTTTGGAATTGCATTAAGTCCCACTGTTTTGCTGGTGAGCATACAAGAGTTTAGGTATCTAAGAAACTGCCATATACTGAGTCAGACATCAGCCCCTCCAGCAGAGTGTTGTCAACACTGAATCTGGCAGGAGCACCTCAGGATTTCAAGCAGAACATTTCCCTGCCCTACCTGGAGCCACTGAGGATTGAATTTGAGACCTTCTTCATGAAACGCATGTGTTCTTCCACTGAGCTGCAGTCCTCAAGCAAGTTTTGGGGTGCATGCCAGTTTAAAATGTGCAAGTCTGAAGCCTGCCCCACTTTGCTCCACAGGAAGTGACCTTTTTGTGACTTCTCTGGTGCACACTACAAACATCCTCTTTGGGTGTACCTGTTGGGGTGAAGTTGTGCATTTTTAGTTTTGTTGAGAAGTGACCCTCTTTGCATGCCTGCTTTATTCTCACGCATCAGATGATGCAGACCCTAGCCCACAAAAGCTTATGCCATAAGACCTTAAGGTGCCACAAGACCCTAAATCAGCGCCTACTTCCATGGACTAACATTGCTACTCTTCTGGGATTTGCTCTATTTTCAGTATGGCCAGAGGAAATGGAGCTGCTGGGACAGGATTGAGGTGCCAAGTTTGGATGCCAGAGGAGAGATCATCACCTTGAGGGACCTCTGTGATCATATCCAGGTGAAGTATCAGGTTTCATGGGCAGGTTCCTACAAGAACTCAGAGTGCATGTGCTGCAATGGCCTGTTCCACTGCTACATGTAGCAGTGACCTTTTTCTCCACTCTACATGTTTCAGCAAGGGAGCTTCTCTGCTACATCAGGCAAGCCAGCAGTGCAAACGCTGAAGTCTGTGAGCAGCTGGTGGACACAGAGCTTAGAATGTGCACATCATACCTCTCAGTATTATCTGTGATGGGTCTGATTGACCCATCTCCTCCTCAGTGCACTCCACATCCTTTCTCCTGGCCCATTCAGCCTTTTGGATTAGATTTCTCCCCTTGAACTGGACTCTTGAAGCCATCCACATTTTTTTCCTAGCAGCTTGCTCAGGCTCCCCTTGATATCTTCTCTCCTAGCGTTAACCTAGCCCAGTGAAAGTCCAATTTAGAGAGTGCATGAGGATTGTCACTGTGATGCTGACCCCTACCTGCTTGTTACAGAGGGAGCACTGTCTGGTTCCACGGATGCTATTCTATGGGACAGCTACTCTCTATGATGGATCTGCAAAAGAAGAGTTACGAGAAAAGCAGCTTTCTTCCAGGTAGGAGAATTACAGGGACATATCCTTGAAAACTGGGAGGTTATCACCTCCTTAAATCTTCCTTGACTAGTTAAAGATGGTTCAGACTTAAGACAAGAACAAAGGGAGCCTTTCCACATTATCAGCTGTTTGACACAGGTAGAAATGGAAACAGGGCCATAGTCTCAACAGCTCGGCCCCTTTTACATCTACTAATGTCACAGACTCCCTCTGGCCTTCGCAGCAACTGGATGTGCCTGGGCCTTTCTAGCAGCATCTGGACATCCTGAAAAGGGCCAGGCATGGCTTGGAAAGAATGGAGTGAAGCTGAACTGACAAAGCAGACTTTTGGCAGAAGACTTCCCATTCTGAGGTCCATCCCCAAAAGTTATCCCTACCTTCACATGGCTCTTTTCTCTTAACCTGCCTCCTGCTTCAGCCTCCTCCTTTTCCTCTTCTATGTCTTCATTAAAACATTCATCCTATTGTCTTTGGGTTCTAAAACAGGTCCCCAGTTTTTTTGCAACCATTTAGAATCTTACCAGAGAGTGTTAAAGTAAGCTGAGACAAAGCAGCTTAAAATGACTCCCAAGCAGGCAAAACTGAGAATTTACAAAGTGTCCACACTGTCAAGTACTGATTCTCTTGCTTCTCGTCAGAGTTGAGGGGAACCAAGGAGGTCTGCTAGTGCCTGGATAAGACAGTGGGGGCAGGCCTGCGTAGACACAGTCCCAGTGAGCCCTTTCATTTTGCTCCTTTGGTCGGTGGTTGCACTTGAATCATTTTCTTCTCTTTTTTGCTTCTGCGTGCTGAGTCTGGGAAGGAGCAGGGTTGGTGGCTCTGCCTGTGACTTAGGAGGAAGGCAGGGGCAATCTCAGGAGTGAGGGGCAGGGAGGGCCGTGGCTGCCCCGTTTCAAGGCCCCTACAGGGAGAGCCTGGGTACTGTAGCAGCAGCAGCTGCAATGTCTCTGCGTCCTGTCCCCGTCCACGCTGGGTAAACATCCTGCTGTCAGCACCTCCTCCGCTGCTTCCTGGGGCAAGCAGGCCTATCTCAGCCCAGCCTCAGACAGGCCGTGCTGGGCCTCTGCCATCCACATGCATCCAGAGGCAACGTGAGTCCCCCGACTCCACAGTCTTTCCAGACCCCTTGGCAGCCTTTCCTGCTCTCTGCCCACTCCCTCTCCCTCAGCCCCACTCCAGAGCAGGCCGCAGACTCAGCCAGGCCGTCGTACTTCAGCTGTGATGGCTGTTTGTTAAGAAGAGCAAGCGAGAGTGTCCTTGGCTCCCCGTGCTCTGCGCAGCCTTAGGACAGGAGGCCGGGGAGGAGGCATGGCATGCTAACGTCCTTCCTTGGAGAGACCAAATTAATTTCCTCCTCAGCTTCTGAACCTCCTCAGACTGCACACAGTGCATGAGGACTGTGAGGTAAACAGGGAAAGGGAGGCAGGGCCAAAAGCAGTCAGTTTAAGTCACCCATTTTGAGGAATCAACACTGGGAGAGGGCTTTTGCTTGTGGAGTTTTCCAAAGACATCTGGTAGGCCACTTTGTAAAACAAAATGCTAGACTGGGTGGGCCATTGGTCTCCCTTAGAAAGGCTCTTCTCATGGATGTGTATGCCTCTTTTTTTGGAATTTGCCAAACAGGCATTGTGAATAAGAATCCCCTAACCCGAGTCAGCCAGTTGATCCTGCAATGGCTGTGGTGACTGGATCAAGAATCATAGAATAGTAGAGTAGGAAGGAGCCAGAAGACCATCAGGTCCAGCTCCTTGCTCAGTGCAGGAATCCATGCTAAAACATCACTCTCAGAGTTGGATGTAGCGCTGCAGTTGTTACATGTGGAGGAGGAAGTGTAGCTGATATTCAGCAGAGCAAGTGACAGCTCCCTGCTCCCTAGCAGTCCTTCACCCAGCACCTTACTTGCCCTCTGCTTTCACTTTCTTAGGCTGACAAACCAGATTCGCCAGACCATGGAAGAGGGGCGCCGGTTCTTAGTGTTGACAATGGTCTGTGAAGATGAAGATGAAGAGGATTATATACCACCTGTTCATGTCTGGATCCAACCAATGACACATGAAAATGGTGTGTGTCATTTGTGTGTGTCTTCGTACCCATGTTTGTGAAAGGCAGAAATGTATAAAATGGATTATGATAAGCATAAGCCAGATCCACACTAACTGTAACAGCCCAACTCCATTCAAATCAGGAACTTACTCCTTGCTTCATTTAAGAAAAGAATGCTCACACACTGGGCTGTTTACACAGTTATTGGTGGTTTATTTAAGCCATGATGTATGCCAGGCAGCGTTTGCCTAATTATCCCTCCTGATGTGGCTTGTTATGCCATTGAAACCCAGGCAGCATATTGGTGGAGAAATAACCTTCAAATAACCCATGGGCTTTTGTTGGGGTTTTTTTGGGGGGGGGGCGGTTCCTTTCTAGCAAGCCAGGTTGCCCAGGTTGGGATGGCACAGCAAACCACACCAGACTGAGTGATGGCACTTGAAATGTGCTGCAGTTTAAACAAACCATCATGGCTTGCTTAATCCATGGTAATCATGCAAACCAGCCCATTGTGACAAAGTGCTACACAAAATTGCAGAGTCGGAAGAGTCCTTGGAGATCATCTAGTCCAACTTCCTGGTCAGTGAAGGATTAGCAATGCTGGATGCAACTACAGCCAGTCTTACAAATGGCCACCCAGCCTCTGGCTTCAGTACTCAGTGAAGAAGAGCCCATCAGCTCTTGAGACATGTGTTCCACTGTCAAGGTGTTTCTACCTTCAAGAAGTTTCTCAAGTTTAATTAACTTCCACCCACCAGTTTTAATTGTCATTCCTTCACACACAACAGAGAACATGTTTGCACCATCTTCTGCATGACAGCCCTCCTATCTTTGAAGACAGTTACCACATGACAGTTCCCCTTGTTTCTTCTCCAGGCTAAACATACCCATTCCTCAGAGGATCTGCTGCATCCTGATTGTAATAAACATATTGGTTTGCTCCTAGTTTTGTGTGTTGTTTTATATTCTTATGCGGCTGATGTTATTTGTGCTGTTATTTGTGCTGTTAGCACAAATAACTTGTCTGCCCATTCCATGTTTGTGGTTTGATTTTAACAAAAAGGTTGGTCTCACACATAACTGCAAATCTTCCCTCAAACAGCAATGCTGATAACATCAGATAAAGGGAATTTAGTGACTGGCCTTGCTTTTATCACATCTAATTTAACTGAAATAGCTACTGGATTACATTAAGTTTGAAGCATTATGGCAGAGTGCCCTCTGACAGATTGCTTCTCCTGTTTACAGCAAATCTCTAACAACACGTTAGAGTAATGTGATGAATTTTATCTCAGAATGAAGCTTTCTTCTTTTCAGTTGCAACCCTGCTCTTAGGAAAACTGCCTTTGGATCCCAGATAGGACAGAGCGTTCTTCTTTTCTTCTTGCTTATCTCTCAAGTTTTGCAAATGACAGAAGGGCTGCAGACTGAACTGGACATTGCATCACACAACACAAAATATTGCCCAGGAACTTCTTTTGAAAAGCAACACCTGCTTCCTTTTTTCCGCCCCTATTCTCTTTTTGGGTTGAATAATCCGGCACACTGATCCAAAAGATGTCCAAAGGTTTGTCAATACCAGTGCTTTGCTTCCATATATCTGCTAACTGGGCTGGATCCAGGATTTGCCTTTTCCATGAAGAAGAGACAGTGAAGAGAAGAGCTCTGTTCAGGGAAGATCCTTGTGCCTGACTTTTGGAGAGCCCTCCCTTCTCTCACACCACAGCTCACCCTATTCAACAAGGTCTCCTAACTCTGTGTAGCATTTTCATGAGACTGCAGGGGCTGCCATGGGAAGGAGAGGGTATAGAAATTCTCTTTACGAGCATAGTTGATCCAGCTTAAATCGAGATTGAATCCTCTGCAAATAGTAGTAAGGTCTCCAGAATGCCTTTTAGAATGACACATAAGTGAGTTGTCTCCTATCCAGCCTTACCTTTGTTCCATTTAACAACTTTAGGAATGCAATCCTATACACACTTCTCCAGGAGCAGATCCATTAAGCTCTTAGTGGAGCTGCATAGGATTGCACTGTAGGTACTCTCCTAAAACTTTACTTTCTGCTGCCAACAGTTTCTGCTGATTTGGTTTGTTGTTTTCATTGTTTGGTGATAATAGTTGTGTTTTGTTCTTTTATGATTTGTAAGTCCCAGAGAGGAGTTATTGGGGCTATGGGTAAATACATAGTAATTTACAGTACTTTACAATGTCTAGTGATAGCCGCTTCTCAACTGGCTCAGTGTGTTCTGTGGATACATTTGTGATTGTGAGTGCAATTGCCCAACACTTAGGCTGGATCAAGAATTAGCCTTCTGACACGAGGGGTCCCATTCATATTAGGTCCCTTCACCCAGATGTGGAGGATTCTGCTACACATGGCCATCCAGTACAGCTCATCCCACTCAGCAGGGTGTTTTGCCTCTCCAGGTAGCATATTCAGGGGGCTATCATGGGAAGGGGTGGGTGGGAAAACCACTGGTTCAGTTGATTTAGTATAAATCTGGATCCAACTGTTAGGTGTTATGCTTCTGTTACAGTTGTTTGGCCTTATAAAAAAATGCATTTACTGGCACAGCAGCTCATGGGATTGTTGGACAGCGTTGGAGCTGCATTGCTTTACAGATCTACCTGTAAAGGAAAGCTTTCTGCTAAATGCCTAACTACCTTCACACACCAACCCTCTTCAGAGCCCCACCCTTCTTAAGAAACCCTATTGGGCTGACCATTTGCTGCTGCTGTTGTTTAGTCGCAAAGTCATGCCCAACCCCATGGACAGCATTCCTCCAAGCCTTCCTGTCCACCATCCCCCAGAGTCCACCTAAGCTCACGGGACTGCTTCAGTGACTCCATCCAGCCACCTCATCCTCTGCCGTCCCCTCCTTCTTTTGCCGTCTATTGTTCCCAGCATTAGGCTCTTCTCCAGGGAGTCCTTCCTTCTCATTAGGTGGCCAAAGTATTGGGCTGCCCATACTGGAATCAATGTATCATTCATTTGCTTGCTTCACCTCCTTAGGGAAAAAGCTTCATGTTTTAACTATCAGGATAGGTCGTAAGGAGTGCTAAGGCAAGGCAGCCTTGAACTTCTCTTCTTGGTCAGTGCTGTTCATAGGAAGTGACCCCAAGGATTCGCTCCGTGTCACATGGAGCAACCTCTTGGAAAGGCCGCTCTCTGAAAGGCCAAACCGGGACCGTGGAGCTGCTTCAGTTATGTCAAAGGGAGAAATGGGGGTGACAGTCAGGCAGAAAAGGGAATGTGTGGGCAAGGGGTGCAGAGGACCCTGCCACCCCACCTACCCTCCCTGGAGTTCATCCCCCTTTTGTGTGGGTGTGTTTCCCCGGGACATCCTTCCTTTAGCTGGCTGACTGGGGATGATGGGAGTTGCAGCCCAACACATCTGGAGAGTAGTAGGCTAGAGAAGGATAGCCTCGGCTAGCTGCCTGGGGAGATGAAGGGAGAGACGCTGGCTGTGAGTGCGGGAAATAACTCTGTACTCCTTTGGCTGGCGAGAGGGGACCCTCCCATCCCATCCCCACCAATGGGCCAGATCCATTATTAAGTAGACTACTCACAAGCAATCCCTGCTAAATTCAATGGGATTTGCTTTCTGCTACTTCAAAAGATGGCAGCCTTCTTTTTCTTTCTGAGCTGAACTTATGACCAACACAGAAAAGCAAGTGTGCGTCTGAGCAGAATTAACTGCATACAACATGGAAGGAAGGCTGTGTAGTGTTACTGAACTGGCTAGCAAGACAGGTCTGGCTTTCACAACAGTAGGGAAGACATGGAGGAACAGGTTGGACGATGTAAGGCAGATTTCTACAACCTGGTACCCTCCTGAAATGTTGGGACTACAACCCCCATCATCTCCAGCCAGCATGCTGGCTGTTTGCTACTTCCTTTACAAGAGGTGGCATGCCTGCATACAGCAGCTGCTGAGGAGCTTGAGCAGGAGGGGGTCTTGCACCCATCCTGCTTGAGGGATCCTGTGGGCATCTGCCTTGGCACTGTGTGTTCAGAGTGCTGGGGTTGATGGGCTTTGGGTCTGTTCCGACAGGGCTTTTCTTGTGTTCCCATATATGCTCTTACGATGGTAGGAGTTGTCCAGAGAGCACAGGATGGGGAAGGCGTTGTTGTTGCTTCAGCAAACAGTACAAGATGAAAACACATTTGCCATCAAGAATGAAGTAACTTAATAATGACCTGCATATAGCAATACCGATATGTAAAACTAAAGTGCTAAACTTCCTCTTCAGGGACTACTGATTAGATTTAACTAGGGAGTATTAATTAGTTCTTTCCAAATGGTTACATGTGATTGTGGCAGTTTCAGGCATGTTTGAGGAAGGCTGGATGCAGTCTGGAAAGCTTCAGTGAAAGTGAGAGACGAAAGGTTCCTGACTGCTAAACTCAATCTGTTTACCTTATGCAAAAGATAAAGGCAAAACAGAATACCTGGGAAATAAGGCTGGTCAAGTTTGCTATTTTTAAAGGTGCTATTTTTAACAGAATGGTTGATTAACCATTGGGTAATGCCCAGAAAAGTGTTGACTTGATTTCCCATCAAGTCAACACTTGATCGGAAATCAGGTGGACTATAAAACCCAGCACTTTGTATGAGAGCAGCATGGCTAAACGCCCAGTAACCTGCATTTGGTTGCTGTAAATAGCAGGAGAAAAATCTCCTGGGCTTCTGTTATGCTGAGGGTCAATTTTTTGTGAACCTTCAGATCTGTTGATAACACAAGGTAGAGGCTTGTGTTAACTAGCAGAAGGCTTACCTCTGCAGCTCTTTCATTGGCTTCTTTGCAACCTCCGGAACAAAATGAGCTGGTGATGGCTCATAAACCGATTGTTTCAGGGCTCATTCACATAACTATGCTAAGAGGGACAATACTCCTACTAAAGGAGTCTCTTTATCCCTGAGTAACACACTAGTGAAAGAGAAGCAGTTCAAAAGGCAGGAGTGTGTTGAGTAACCCACTATGCAAAGCAATGTTTATCCTATTACTGGGAAGTGTCACAACATCATATGGTTTTCTTATCGTGAGACATGCGTTGCTCCTCACAGTACAAGAACAACTTAGTACGTGTTCTGTGCCTTGATAGGCAGGCTGGTGTGATTTCTTTTGTGACTTATCCTCCTATCTGCCAGCCAGGGGAAAACCACCCAAATGGTCCATGACAGTAAAGGAGCAATTAAAACAAATCCTCTCTGGATTTGCATGTGCTCACTTCCAGGGGCCTTTTATTACAAAAGAATATAGTCTCACCAAATTCATTCTCTTCCCCTCCCTGTACTACCCTGAATAAGTGTATGCAAAATTTAAATAGTAAAATGTTAGCAAAGTGGATTCTCCTTCGGCAGCCTTCACAGCAACCCCCAGTTGAGTTGGACTACAACTCCCAGTATACCTGATCATGGGCCATGCCGGCTCCAGCTGAGGGGAGTGGAAGTCCACAATATCTGGAGGGCACCAGATTGGAAAGGCTGCCATATGTGTAGGAGAAGTAGTATGTTGTAGCTGTGGGGACTGGCAGAACCAACATAATTTAGAACAGCCTTCACCAATGTTTTCCTGAAGTGTTGGATTAAAAATACCAGCAACCTCAGACAACATGGTGATTGGTAAGGCTTGAATATGATCGAGGCTTTATGGACAGTGAAGAGGTAGCAACACCTGAACATGGCAGCTACATGATCAAGTTGATTTGCATAAGGTGCAGGACAGACAAAAAGCTAATTTGCATTCAATACATCATTCTCTTATGGGGGTTGTGGCCATGGAATATGATGGAAGCTACCTTGGGTTAATTTTCTGAAGAACTGGGTAACATCAAACAGTAGGGTGGGGAAAGTTGTGACTCTCAAATGTTGTTGGCTGATGATCAAGGATGATGGGAGCTGTAGCTCAGCAGAGGTGCAAGTCCCCACTGCTTTAGATGATAGGACTACCAACACTTACTAGTAACTTCCAGGTTCCTCATCTTCATGTCCTGTATGGAACTATCAGTGGATAACCCAGCTGGTCAGTTTTAGAAATAAAATGCTGAACTAAATGGACTTTGGTTTGAGCCAGCAAGGCAATTGCTATGTTCTGGTGTTTACCTGGAACCAGCCTGGCTTCTTGTAGGCAGGGATGGGCTTTTAAGAATTGCAGCTGGAAGGCCACAGTTGCCCACCTCTGAGCCAGAGCAAGCATCTAGAGTCTGCAGTAACTTTGGAGAGCCCTTCTACCCAGTCCCCTCTCTTTGATGCATCCTAAAGAGGTTGACTGGGGATCTGGAGATCTAGAAGGCCATGGCTATCCATTATGCATGGGATTTGATTTTTTAAATTTTTAATTCTCAGGAGTTAAAAGTTTTAATTACTTTATCACTTTCTTGGCAACCTGATTGTAAAGGTGAGAGTGAAAAGCATGAGAGAAGCCACCAACAGGTTGTTTAAAATAGGGCTTCTCTTTGCCAGGGCATTTAACCATTTCACTTGTCCAAGCCACACCACACAAATCCCTGTTCAGTCATTGCAAAGGGCCAAACGGCACAAGCCATTTGTCGTGTAGTTTGGTGCTATGTAGCTGATTTTTTATGTTTTAAAAAAACCCTTAGTACCAGGTGGTGGAGACTGGATCTGGGCCATGGCATGGAAGGAGATTGGGGGCTTAACACATTGGCTCTTGCCACAGTCCAGAACAAAATCCCCCCTGAGCCTTGTCTGCTATTCAGAGGAAAGCTCAAAGCAATTGTCAAGATAATTGCAAAGTCATGTGAATTAAGCACACTAATTAAAGGTGCATAACATCCAGTTCTCTGACACATTTGCATGACTGTTTTATGGAATCCACTAGCAAAATCTCAAAGTTTGCACTTTAGCTTATAATGGTGGTTCTCAAATTTTACAGTTTCTTGAATGGCTCAGGGGCTCTTGGCAGACCGCGTGAATGCCCCCTTTTCTGTGTGCTACAAATCAAAGCGTGCACACATGTGAATCCCTTACAGGCATACAGCTGAAAAACTCTAGTGAAGAAAAACAATACATGTCAGTCAGCTGAACTGCATCCAAAGAAAACCATTCACATAGGTGACCTGACAAAATATGTAGTGCAGGTATAGTAAGGTAATACCAACTTAGAAAAAAAAAACAAAGCCATGTAATTTCACCTTGGAAATAAATATGATTTTTCTACTGTGTTGGAATTTTCAAAGATGATGGCATCATCAAAATTATCATCTTAAAATAATCATGGGCCCTAGAAGAGGTCACAGAGAAGGGGCCTTTTAAATAGTACATTTAGGGAAACAGTAGGATGCTGCTGCATTACGTAGTGGGAGTCTTGTTTTATGAAAGCCATGGATCTAATGCAAGAGACTTGTTAGCCTGTTTGCTCATCTAGCCCTGGCCAAATGGTGAACATCATCCTCCCCAAAATTAAGTCATAGCAGGACCAAGTACCAATATTCTTTACTGTTCTGCTGCCTTTCCTGAATCGCCTGAATGGAGGTCGTAGACCACACTTTGAGAACCTCTAGCTTTGGAAGTTGTTAAGGGCAAGCCTATCATGGAGGATGAACCCATCTATGGCAACTAACCATGTTCCCTAAGTGGAATCAGAAAGTCCTGACCAGCCCCCTGGTATCAGGTGGTGAGGATAAATGGAAGGATGGCCTTTGACTCCATGCCTTCTTGCAGGCCTCCAAAGGCATTTGGCTAACTAGGGTGGTTGCTTATTTTCCTGTGCACTTATACTTACCATGACTAGTTCATGCTCCTTAATTCCCTTCCTGTTCACAGCTTATTGTATTGTGGGTTGCAGCTTCATATTCTGTGCTGAGAATACCTACGGACTGGATTCAGATTTAGACACTTGCCACTGGGTTCACTGAAGCCGCCTACCCCACCCTGTGCTCCCCTCAGCAGCCCCTGCAATCCACAGAAAATGCTGAGTGCTGGGGGATCTTGCTGTATAGGATGAGCTGTGGTGCAGCGGAAATCCCTCCAACTGAGCAGGGGCACCTGCCTTAAGTGGAGCCATTCCTCCCACAGAAGGCAGAACCTGCAATGTGTGTTATCCTGCATCATGCATGCTATCTTACTCTCAGGGAGGTGTGGGAGTAAGATTCTGGGGCCTGGCAGCTTTCACATCATCTGGAAACATAAGTAAACACTTGACATCCCTGGACCCTGTTATCCATTCTTCAGAAGTATTTGAAGCTGATGACGGGATTAATCAACACTGTTAGGTGTGACTATGGGTTTGTTGTGTTTTATTAAACACAGTTGCTGAAGTTAAAACAAGCAAATGTGTCCATCAGATCCAGATAGTAGTAACATCCTGTGAATTCATGTGCAGCATTTGAAAGCCTGAATGAACATTGGTTTGGATAATTGATTATGGCTGTAATCCTAAACATGGTCACTAGACAGTAAATCCCATTGAATACAGTGGGATTTACTTTTGAATAAACAGTGTTAGGCTGCAGTTCTATGCCCACTTACCCAGGGGTACGTCCCAATAAATGCAGAGAGACTTCCTGCTGAGTAGATATGCAGAATACTACACTTTGTTACATCTGTGGTTTGTTATTTGTGTGTTGCACAAGGGATACTCAAATAATATTGTTTAGCAGTGTTTTAGGGAACTTTAAAGACAGAATGCCTATTTTTATGGGAGCTCTCATTTCCACGCCGATTGTGACTCAGTGTTGCTTTAACTATTCCTTTTGCCATGCATGTGCGGTCATCGGATCTGTTTCACACTGCAAATTCCAGCTGGGTGTCTCCAACATGGTAGCCACTGTCCTTGCCAGGCTGCAAGTGATTCTTGCCCTCATTCACAGTTCCTGTCTCAGCCCTTTTGAAATCCTCATTGTCAGAAGCCTAAAGTGGTTCTCCTTCTGGCTGCTTCCCAAACTTTGTACTGAAAGTCAGGCACAGACAGTTCCAGTGTGGTTTATCAACCCGAATAATGCCTTCCAGTTTCAAGCAGGCACAACACTAAACTTACCAAAAGCACTCAATTTTGGTTGGACTCATAAGGGCAATAGTTGTGTTTTCAAATTCTTTGAGTACCAAACACAGCAATAATTCTCTGTACCATATTTGCAGGATTTGCAATGGCATTGGCCAAGTCCCCTTTATTTTAGACTTCCCTTGCTCTGATAATAGAAGAAAGCCATATGGATATTTGCCAGACTGACTCAGGCCTATTGTTTACTTCAGCTTTCTCCAGCCTGCTGCCCTCCAAATTTTTTAGACCATCAGTCCAGCCATCATGAGAAATGATTTGAAATGCTGGGAATTTAGACCAAAACATCTGGAGGGTACCAGACTGGGAAAGGCTGTTTTGATTGTTAAGTAAGGTCAATCCACATCAAGGGAGTGGAACATGAGCTATGTTTTGTTCCTGGAAAGATACCCGAGGCTGAAAGTTCACTGTTCCTTGCGGTCCATTTTTCCTCATGTCGTTACTGTGGTGCCTGCTAATGTTCAAAAATGGACAGGTGTACTTAACTGGAAGCCAAATCAAATGGAACATGGCTGAAAGCAGTGGTGTACATTTTGATGTACAAGCCCTGATCATGACAGTGCCCACAGCCATGTGTCCTAGGAAAACTCCTAAACCCGGAAAGCTGTGTGGATCAATATTAACAAACCAGTTCTAGAAGTGTTTTTTATCTCTGCCTAGAGGTCTTCTGTAAACCCAATGGGTCTTCATTGCCAGTTCAAGACCAAGCCATCCCAAAACATTGGCATAACAACATGGAATAATATTCTGTTGCTGGGAAAATTCATTCCCCCCAGCTACTATAGGGATTGCAGCTAAGCTGAGAAGGAGCAGGGAATTCTGGGGGGCAAGTGACAGGTGACATCCGTGCCCCCGTTATTCAGAGAGAGCTGGTGCTATGCCTACAAATCCTGCCTGGTTTGAGTCAAGCATTATCACTCACACACACACACCAGACACCCTTAATATAGAAAAAAAGACATTTATTTACAGACAACCATAAAAATAGAGATCTGTTTAGAAAAAGAGCACAGAAAAATGGTGGAGCTAGATGTAGCCAATCACGTCATTGCAAATGATGGGCTGCCGACTTCGGCAGTTCATGAGGGCAGCAAAGCTGCTACAGTCTGTGGAAAGCTCGCTGATGTTGGCATGGGACTGATGGAAATAGGGTAATGAGGGCCGGCCGCCCAGGCCCGCAGGGCAAGAGAAACGCTTGGTGCTATCGGGGTCCTGCTTGGCGCGCTCTGTGCGCGAAATGCCAGCCAGCCTTCTGCGCACGTTGCCCGAAAGGTTCAGCAGGAAGCCGTGGGGTTTTGCCAGCCAGCGCTGCAGCCTGCCGCGTTCCCCACTCTCCTCAGGCAGGTCCATCCAGTTCTCAACCAAGTCAGCAAAGCAGTTGTCCCCCAGCACCAGCGGCTGCCGGTTGCGGCTCTGCGACAAGAGGGACACCGTCCAGTCGCCTGCATCTGCTGGCTCAGCATCCCGCCACCTCTCCAAGCAGGCATCAGAAGCAGACTTGGGGCGGGGCCTCCTGGCGGGCACTCGGCGGCGCAGAAACCCCCCTGAGGAAAGCTTACTGGGTCGCGGTGGCAGGGGGCCCTCCTCATCTCGCCAGCTGCTCCCAGACACTTCGGAGTAGCCCGAATCAAACTCCAGGCTCCGCTCACTGCTGGGAGGAGAGAAGGCAGCCTCGTCCTCTGCAGCGCCCTCCAGGCAACAGGCGGAGTCTGCTTCCGAAATCGCAGACCCCCGTGGACTGGTGCACTGCTTTAGGGGGGGCACAGTGCAGGCAGGTCGCACCTCCTGGGGGTCCAGGTGGAACTCTCGGTCGTGTGTCCTCTTCAGATCGTGGAGGGTTCGCATCATGCACTGCATTTGGTCGCGCAGCACTTCACTCGACTCCTTCATGCACAGCTGCACAGAAGGAGACAGACATTTTCAGGGAACTGCCCCAACAGTGTGGCCCAATTCTGTCCTCAGCAGAAGTGCAGGATGAGTTGGGGAAACTGGCAGGGGAGACACACATTCCAGCCAACCTAGCCCAATAAACCTATTCGGAAGCAACTCTCCCAGTGTAAGGCTAGGCATCCAGAGGAAGCTACTTGTGAATATCACAATCCCAGACAATGCAAAAGGCAGCAAACAAGGAGGTAACTGACTCTGCAGAGAGGAGCTCCTGATCCCAAATGACCCAGGCCCCTTTAAGCAAATTTTAAACACTGGTTGAAAATAAAGCTGCATGATCCCCTCAGCCACACGTCTCCTCAGACTGCAAGAGCCATTACCAACAACCCCTTCCCTGCGTTGCACACGCACACAGCTTACCCTGCCCAGGTGTTCCGGCATCTAAGTAGTGTGGCACATGCAAGGGATGCCGCAGGCCACATGAATCCCGGAGGTTTCTAGCCAGGATACCTTGATCTGAGAGGGGCACGGGTCTGAGTTAGCAACGTAGTTGTGGAATTAGGAGCCAGAGCCGCACGCGCGAGCCCTTGCCCTGTCTCGCTTCGGCAGGCCCCCAGCCCCGAGGCAAAGCTTTTCAGCAGCATCTGCACGTTCCAAGCCCATCCCTGGCTGCACAAGCAGCAGCTTGTTGCAGTGAGTGAGCCGCCCCACCCAGCAGAAGATGACACAGAGGGTGTGTGAGAGTCTCCTGGAATTACACAAGCCATCCCTGGCCGTGGAGGGAGAACAAGGCAAGCAATAAGTCCAAACAGTCACTGAGGTGGGGGCAGAGGTGGGGAAGGTCTGCCGTAGAGAGGTAGAACGGATCTGCGTGGTAAAGGCACGGGTGCCATTCACTGGAGGGCTCATGAGCTTGAAAATTCTGTATCCCTTTCGTTCAGAAACCTCTGGCTGCACTCTCCCAGGAGGGCAGGACATTTGTGCGAGCCAGGAAAATGCAAACTACACTTTTTTGTCAGAAATTCCTGCATGAAGCTGGAAGCACTGCAAGATGCCCAGTTTCTAGAGCCAGACTAACAGGGAAACACTCAGAGGAGGAACACGCCTCTCCCAGATATTCACAAAAATGTGGGTCAGTGTGCTGAGGAGCCCCCGCCCTGGTGGGGATAAAGTGAAAGAGGAAGCAGGGAAGAAAGGCTCAGCTGTTACTACACAAAGTGAGTGGGATAACTTTAGAAAGAGTTCCCTAGATCTAATCCAAAGATTTCTCAGATGCCTACAAACTAGCCTAGGCTCTGCCTCAGCACTGAAATGGTAAAGGTCTAGTCAGGGTCCCAAACACCAAGACCACAGATGCTTAGCATCATATCCCTTCTTCCTCATTGTTCCTGAAGGTCCACTTCCTGTTGCTTGCTAAAGACTCTACAAATCAACTCATGGAGATGGTTCCTCTGGGCAGGCTTCCAGACAAGTGATTCATCTAGCTGGTCGGGTGACACAGTTCACGCTAGTCCCCCAGTGGCTGGCAGAAAACCTGGATACTATGAAAAGACTGTCTTGCCTTACTTTTCAATCATACTCTAGGATTAACCCCAGTAGCCATAAGAAATGGAGCCTGCCATCATCTCTTGCCTACCTCCTCCACCCCACACTTCTGGTCAAGGAAAATCCCAGCCTGCTTTCCTAGCCACAGCATCAGATAAACTCCATTTACACTACAAGAGTGAGTCAGCCCTTGATGGGATTTGAAGAACAATCCCTCATCTGAATGTTGCGCAGTTTAGGAAACACACAGCTACTTCAGCACAGAGTCAGAGCCCAGCACCTGGGAAGAGGTGGAATCCTCCTAGCTGGGATCAGAGGAGCAAATGGCTTATGACTCAACTACCTTCCCCCTAGACTTGAATCCCGTCTTCCTAATGTAAACATCATGGCGTAATAAGCCAGATGACAGACTGGCTAGTGGGAAGTTCATCTGCAGGTCTGTTGACTGACACCATCCATTTCAAGACCTGACAGGACCAGTTCTAGACCCCAAGAATGGTCTCCAGTCTGATCCTACCCAGCACAGGGCTACTCAGGAGTCCTTCTTCTTCCCATCACACTTCCCTCTTTCACCTTAGCCACTGCCCCTGCCTATTTGGCTAGCAGTTGAGTAAGGATTGTGCGTCTTGCTTGACTGACAACCACATGACTTTGACTTCTTCTGGTCCCAACAGGGGGTGAGGGCTGGAGTGGGGACATACACCAGCTGGTATCCTTGCCAGTCCAATATCAATGTTTATTTAGCATTCTTTTCAGCCCACCTTTAAGACTAGAATCCTTACATCAGTGTTAAATGGACAACCAGGTTGTCCTGGCTGGACAAATTTGGGAAGAGGTAAATGAAAGGAAGAAGGAGGTGAAATGTTTAAGACTGAGAAGCTCTGGAGCCATGTGTGGACTGCCAGCACAGACAGCTTTCCATACATAGGCCCCAGGTGCCAACTCAAGAAATGAGGACAGCCTTCCCAAACTGATGTGCTCCAGATGTGTTGGATGGCAGTTCCCACAATGTTTAGTCAAGCAATGGCTGAGGTCCAACACATCCAGATGGCATCAAGCTGAGGAAGCCTGGCTTAGAACATCCAAATGGATATTACCAAGATCTGTACCAATGGCTCCTCTGGATCGAGACACAGTACCATCATTGAGCAGCCAGCTGTTCTGAACTGATCCAGAATCAACTTTAAAACAGACTCCTTTCCTTTGGCAGCAGCTCTAGAAGATGCAGCAATTCCAGGGTTGCCATTAGTCATTTTGGTCTCCACATTAACTTAATTATTTAAAACACACACAGTGCTTTCCCATAAGCTCCAATGACTTCACAGTAATAAAACAATAGAGCCTGAAAGCAAAACGAAGCTCCAGAGAACAGTCCTCAAACTGTTAATCAAATAATCCAGACACCTGCTAAGAAGAAAGAAATTATCAGGTGACCTTTCCCTGAATCCTCAAGAAAGACATGCATTCAGGCAGACTGTGGTACCAGATATGAGTGATCTCCATGAAAGCCCTGCTCCTGCCTACCAGCCTTCAGTGTTACAGCCATAAGCAGAGCCTTAGCTGGTGTGTGAGCTCATATGGAGAGGGCTGGTCCTTAAGGTATGGAGGGATCAGGCTGTGAAGGTCTTGCAATACTAAAAACAGCACCTTGGACCGGACCCAGATGCAAACAGGAAACCATTCACAGGCAAGAACATTGACAGTCATTCAACAGAGCAAGAATGTATTTTTGGGGGGTGGGGGGGAATGCTTCTGCACTGTAAGCAGAGAGCATGGAAGAAAAAGCTTCAGTACACATACTGCCTCTCTCTGTCACACCATACCGTACAGAATGTCTTTGAGTGATGCCTGCTGGGAGAGCATTCATGGCCCACCAAGCTTCCACTGTACAGAAGTGGGGCGGTGTTCTCACATATGCCAAGTGCCCTGTTTTCAAAAGATACGAATGCTGCCACATACCTCCTAATGGTTTTGGCAAGGCAGCTGCTATTCCCCTTTTAATGACCCCACTCATGGTGACAGTCAAGAGTTTTATATCACTTACAAATACAAAGCAAGGGCTGAACTAGCCTTTTGGGGGGACTTTCATCTTCCACAACATCTGACAGCCTTCTGAGTCTCATCCTTAAGAGATTTCAACATTTTAACAGCTCCTTTCCCCATTGCGTAACTTCCTGTAGGATAACAGCCCAACTCTTAACATATTCTACCAAACCATTTGCTCCCTTTGTATAGCCATGATGAAGACCCAAAAGACCACTCTGCCTTTTGGCATGCCCAGATACTTGTCATTTTGGAAAACGAGAGTCCAGTCTAAACCAAGACGTCTTTAATTTGCTGTATTCCTTTCAGGATTGTAAAGGAAATGACACAGCTTAGGAACTTCCTGCTCCCTAATTGGAGAATTCTGCTCAGTGTCTACTCTGGACATTCAGTTGTGCAATAAGTTTAAAAGAACCTTCAAGTTATAGGGCAGTATGAACATGAAAATAAATAAATGTGTCAAGCTCCACTCCTAGTATGATGAGCCAAAAGAGAGAGGGGATAAATATTTATTTTATTTCATTTTTTGTGGTTCTCAAGGTGAGTAGAAGTGATCAGGGTAGAACCCAGGGAAACCATTAACACCCAGCATCCTTGGGCAGCTACTGGCCTACCAGCAAAGTTCACTGGTGCTGATACCTATCCTGAGCCAAGACCTGTGAGCTGCCATTTTAATTTCCCACAATGCCTCATTGCAATACTGTGTCAAGTTTCTTGTGGGAAATTTAAAATGGCAGCTCATACATGCCCAGAACTGTTGCCAATATAAGTCCACCAATATAGGTGCCAATGCACAAAAGGGCATTTAGGCAAAGGACCCCTCAATCTGGAAGTGACTCTAGCACACATCACTAGAAAATTCCACAAAGCTATGCTAGCCTGGTATTACATGCCTGCTCACTGGGTTCACTTAGTGTCTATGTGGCCACATCTTATATGGAATATTCAGACCTTATCATGGGTATCATTCCCCAACCTGGTGTCCTTCAAATGCTTTAGACTACAATTTTCAACCTTCCTGATCATTGACCATGTTGGATGGGGCTGATAGAAGCTGAAGTTCAGAACATATGGAAAGCTCTAGACTGGGGGTCTAACCCATCTTCTAGGAAGTCTAACCCATCTTCTTTCAGACACAAACAACAAATCAAGAAATCATCAAGAGCTTTACAGTAGCAACATCCTTCCCTAGGGCTAGGCCATGTTCCAACTCTGCAGTACCCTCATGGAACACTAGAGGGCAAACCCTAAGTGGGAGATTGACCTCCTCTTTACCCAACTGCAGATGGGAGCGCTGAAACTTGACATTCTCCTCAATTGCTTATTTTAAGGTATTCAATAAGGAGAGCTCTAGGCCCCATATTTGCCATAGCTCAGATCCATAAGACATTATCCAACCGAGCTAGGCTACAAAAACGAAAAACATGTAAGAAAATCTTCCCAGTATCCACAGTTCAATGAGAGATTCAACAATATTGAAATTTCAATGTCTGCTGGAACATAGGAAGCTGCACTGAGTCAGACTTGGGTCCAGTACTGTTAACACTGATTGGCAGAAGCTTTCCAGGGTTTTAGGCAAGATACCTTCCTGGCAATGCCAGGGACTGAACCTGGGGTTTTCTGCACATAAAGCAGGTGTCTTTCCCCTGAAGATGTGCTGCAAAAGGCAACAGGGAACATAATAGAAGTGAAACAAGAAGTAATGGGCCTCCTGAGAGGCAGTGGATATGAAATTGGTAGGAACTGGAGGAAGTTTCTACCTTCCAATGCTCTTGTAGTTGCACCTTCAAGAGCAGAGCATTCTCTAGCAGCCAAGGGTTGAGAAGCAAGCTCTGGGAAAAGGCAGCACTGTGATTTCAGGCTCCATGTCTCTCTCCATTCTGTTCTGCATCTCTGTCCTCAAGAATGGCCTGGGCAGGGCTCTTCCTCAGCTGAAACTTCCCCCTTCCCCGTTTCCCACTTCCCCCCTTCAGGTCCATCTGTCCCAAATTGCCAGGGTTCCTCAGCTCTAGAATTAATTTTAAAAGGTTGGGAAGGGAAGAATCAGTGCACCCAAGCATGTGCAGAATGCCTTTCCTTTTTTAGTAAGTTACAAGAGCACCACCGATGGCCCTTGGCATTTGGAGGCAATCATTCCAAGGCCTCACTTGAATTAGTAAGCAATAAATAATAACTCCAGAAATAATAAACCCCACGGATTTCAGCAGGGCGCATGCTGGGCAACAGGGCAAATGGGGCTGCAGCAAAGCCGCCTGATCTTATGCATGTTTACTTAGAAGCAACTAGTACTGGATTCAGTAAGGCGTGTTTCCTAGGGAGTGTGCATAGAACTGCAGCCTCTGGCGGGGGCAGCGCTCCCTTGAGACCCTGCCGCTTCCGCAGCCAGTGAAATCCATTCTCTCAAGCCGGGGCACCTCAAGGGCAGGCTTGCGAATGACATCGGTGCCTTGCTGCAGCGACCCACCTCATCAACCACAGTTTATGGGGCGGAACAGCCCTGTCCTTGCCTGCCTGGCTCAAGAAAGAGGAAAAGCGGGGCTGACAGCTCCTCTGCCAGGTTGGGCGGAACGCACGCAACACGCAAACACTTCACTCATCTCCAGCGCAGGAGCCGCAAGCCCCGTCTTGCTGCCCGGACTAATCCGGCGCAGGGCTTTTTGCAGGGCGCCGCTGCTATTCCCAGAAGTCGGCGCGATCAAAGGCACGCGCTTCTTCTCTCCGGTCGGTTCTCGGCGCAGGGGACCGGTTCGCCCTCTGTGCAACACCCTCGGGACATCTCTCTTTTCCCTCGCAGCACTCTCCCTTGATCAGCTCCGCAGTTTGGCTCACAGATGCAGCACTAGCTAGGACCCTCAATGCACGTACCTCTCTGAACCCCGAAAGAAGAGACCTCCCACTAATCCCAACCGCGATCGGCCCCCCAGAATTTACCACTTCTGCGCGGAGGTGGCTCACGAAGGCGTCGAGGCGAGCGCTGTGCATGCCAGAGCCGGGCGCTCAGCTGCCAGCCGAAGAAAAGGACGGCCAAAGAAAGGACGGAAAAGGGAGGGTGAGGAGAGAGCGAGCGGGAGCGGAGCGAGCCCGACGCCCTGACACAAGCAGGAGGCGCTAAGAAAGTTTTCGCTGGCTGGGCAAGGCGCCCACTTTCTCCGCGGTTCTGTCCCGAGCGAGCAGAGCGCCTCGTTTGGTTCAGCGAGAGCCCCGCCCCTCCCTCGCGGACGGCCCAATCAGCGCCCCAGGCCTCACCTCCTCTGCCAATGAGCGGGCAAGGTGGCTGCCTGAAACCTGAACTCCCTGGATCGGTTGTAATTTAATTAGAGCCCATATTAGGAGCCAAAAGGTGCCACAGATGGAGAGACGAGGGGGGTGCCGGCGCAGCAAACGGGCCGCTCAGGGGTCGCGAGCCCTCCAGGCGCAGCGCAATTACCCGGTTGCGCTACGCTACCCCATCTCCGGGCTGTGGCGCTGCAAGCACTTACCGTGGCGCTCGGGTGGGCGGCCGGTCACAGTAAGGGGTGATTCTATGAGTTTTCTACACGAGGCATTTATTGTACACGTCTCATTCCACACCCACGCTTGTTTTCTGTTCTTCAGAGGACGTCAGAACCCTCCAGTGTCGCTTCTATAACCAAAGAACGTTTTCCCGGTTCTTTCTTTGTTTGGGCGGGAAAATGGAATTGAACTTTACACGAGGCCGTTGATCGCTGCATCTACTTTCGCTTTGTGGGTAATTGCGATCCCATGTTTTCACAAAAGCTCTTCCTTTCCTTCTTTTCCGCTACCCAACCTGTAGGTGGCACTGTGCTATATCGCACTTACACGAGGGGAAAACACTTTTCACTTTCACAAAGGAGCCACAATTTTTCCTGCTCAGAAAATTCTAGGAAAGTATTCTTAAAAAAAGAAGCAAAATTGGCAGATCACTATATCGTCTAAAGAACTAGTGAGCAACCATGAGTAAGGAAACCTGAGCACAGAATAAATGGCTCATGTAGAACACGTCAGAAAAAAGTACATTTTTTAAAAAAGAACCTGTTTTTATGCTTGCGTATTTGCACTATTTTGCTATAGCACAGTACTACTTAGAGATTTGTTCATGGGTACTAACTGGGTAATGTTTCCTCAACAACCCAGGGTTCCTGGTTCAAACATCTTAGACACCAACCCAGGGATGCAGTGGCCCTGAGTAGAAGCTGCTGTGCTTCCTATCTTCCTGAACTCCCAAACCACCTATGGTTAAGAAGCAGTGGTTTGTTTTGTCATGGGTTCTGGGCCAATGTTGTTTGCACTCCCCCCCCCACACATCCATGAATGAGGCAGAATAGTATAATAAAGGCCTTGGCTGAAGGCACTCTGATAAATCAGACAGTCTGAAAGTGGCGCAAGGGCTTTGGTACTGGAAATTGGATCCAGAGCTGCAGCACAGCAAAAATGCTGGTCCAAAATACGGAAGCGACAGGAAGGTGTTGGTTGTTGTAGCAACATCTGATTTGGCCAGTTATTCTCCTTCCCTTCTTTGGAGGGATGTTTCTCCAGCAGAATGTATGAGACAGAATGTATATACAGCAGCTTCTTTGTGGGAATAAGATATGAGGCCATAAAAAGCAACGGCAGGCAAAGCAAGAGGACTGAGGAGCTTCCCTGGGTCCTTGTTTGTTTTCTCCAGCTTTTGCCTGTCATGTTCCAGCCCTCCCCCTGCTAACCAAAACTACGCTGCCAAAATAACCAACCTCTCCTCTCACTCCTCACTCAGCGTGACACATGCTTCCTCAGCTCCCCTCATCTGAGCTAAGTCATATCCTATGCAATTTCCTCCTTGCTCTTAAAAGTTCTCCATACTATCTCTTGATCTTGTTTTCTATACTCTACCCTTTGCATTTCCATCTTTACTATCCCCTTCCTAAAAGTCTCATGCTTTGAACTTGACTCCTCTGCTCCATTTTTCCTTGCTATACATGAAACTCCCTGAATGTGTACAAATTATCACCTGTCCAATAATCTGTCTCTGTCCCTTCACTTCTTTCCTCAAATTCCATCTTTTGGGTGAAGACTTTGGCTTTACCTCTAAATCTTTATCCCTATCACACCCGGGTTCATAGCCATCATTGTATTTGCTCACATTGCTTTGCTATTTTTTTCTCCCTCTCTCCACACTTTGTTATCTTTCCCATTGTCTTTTAGATTGCAAGCTCCTAGTGTGCAGGGACCTATTTTTATTTAGAAATACTTAAGGTGCTCTACCTGTGTATCTATATAGTCATGCCTAAATACCCAGCAGAAAAATCCAGCAGCAACAGCATTCAGTTGCTGTATAGTTGCCATCATATGCCAGAGGCAAAAGTGTAGCTCTGTAATTTTCTCTAGATTTGCTGTTAGAGCACTCTTGATGTCATCAGGTAAGCCAGACTGTGTCCTTGTTTCCCATCAGGAACACTTGAGATAATTCCCTTGGATGCCAGAGCCTTTCCTTCCCGTATACCTAGATTTTTCTACCTATCCACTAGCAGACACCTCCTCATTCACCCATACATCACGTCCTGTAATCTTGACCACTCAGGCTAGGAATTTCCCAGCCCCAGCATGGTTATTTGAATAGGATTAAAGCTTGACCTCAGTTACCAGATGATGACCGAAACCATGGTCAGAGCTGTTGTTCTGCATTGCCAAAATTATGCAAATATTTAGAAGGGAAGCGCCTTGGATTAAGAAAATTTCTCTGTAAAGTTCACCTTAGAAGAATGTGTAAATCTCATACTAACAGAAAGCATTCATTCCAGTGTTGTGGGGCAAATCCTTTATCATTTGCAAGCAGATTTTTGTCACACCTTGTTTGTTGAGAGGAGGCTGATTTCCAATTAAGATCACAATAACTTTGGTTTTGTCTTTGACTTCAGTTTTGACAGACACTGGTCCAACAAAAGGCATCACAACCAAATTGTTTTGTGTCTTTGCTGTCAAGAAGAAGTTACACAATGGGGTTTACTTTTGAGTAGACATGTCGGGTTGCACTGTAAGTAAGCCACAGAGTAGGATCCCAGTCAAAAGAAGGGCTCTTCTACAATATAACTTGCTTTCATATGGAAATGGATTTATCCTGTTGCTGCTAGCTGACTCCTTTCCAGGTGCTTTCTTACCTCATGTTTTGAGACCAATGCAATCTCCCCAGTTGTGAGAAAATGAAAAATATCCACAACATGTCTAGACTGAGGAGTAGAATGATAATGAACTGAACAGCAGATAAAGGGTCCTCGCTGCTCTGTAGGCATGTTATGTGCATTAGGCAAATCATCCATGCCTTTCCGAATGTGGGATGTCTTGGACATCAGCTGCAAATGCCCTCCAGATGTCTTGGACTACAACTGCAGGCCAACACGGGGCCCTCATCCAGTATTGCTTATCTTTTGACATGAGCATGGCCATATGTGTGCATACATGTGCATGTGTGTGTATGTGTGTAATTCCTATAGCATGGCTGGCTTGCTTGAGGCCTGTGGACACGTTTTGCTCAGCCCATTCCTGCAGAGATGCCTGGCTTGTGTGGTTTGCTTGTGGTGTGTAGCAAGATAAATGTGGCTACACTATGAAGGATGGCTCAGAATGGAGGTTTCCACTGTAATTTCTTCCGGTCATGTTTGTATTCACCGTGACAGCAATGCCTCTGAATCCCAGTTGACATACAATATTGTGGTACAATATTGCAGTGGGGGGCAGGGAGGGGAGCAGCTTTTGCCTTTATGTTTTGAGGTGCTTTCAGATGAAGCTTTTATGGTGTCATTGTCCTGCTTGATTCATATGTGGGGTCCTAGATGACTTCTCCTTCCACTCATGACCCTTCCATATTTTCTAAGTAAGCTTTTTTCTTACTGGAGAAAAGGAAGAGGAGAAGGCAGAATAGCCGTGTAATGCCAGGACTTCTCTCTCTTCAAAAGTCCCCTGGAAGCATGCATCTGATCACTGCTGGTAGCAGGATGGATCCTTGGCTTGACCCAGCAAGGCTCTTTGTATTTTTGTGTACTTTACTGTTTGCTCAATTGGCAACTGGTTCTGTTAAGGAGACAGTCTGTGGATTAAGTGTTACAAAGGGCCCTTGAGTGTGTGTACCTATATAGGCAGCCCCACTCTTGACTGACCTCACACTCAGCAGTAAAACCAAGGGAATTTCCAGCCACTACATGCATCTTTTTCTTAAAGACGATCTGCTATCAGTGGGCTTTTTCTTGGCTGAGGTGTCAGGAGTACTTGCCTGAAAGCACAAAGAGCAAAGCTGATGCAACCGCATCTGCTGTGAGCAAGAAAAATCAGCCAGGCAGTGCCTTTTAGTGATACCTCACTTGATGAGTCTCCTTTCAGTCCAAAGAGGGCCCCCAAGGCAACTTACAGTTACAGCTTTAAAACATTTTTAAAACATTACAAACAGCAAGCTTAAGAGCAGGGGGGGAACTTCAAAGCAGGATGTGGGACTAATGCATTTAAAACACCTAAAAGTTGCATGGCACAAACAAATTTTAACAGCCCACTTGAAACTGAGCAAAGGGGCCAATCTAATTCCCTTCAGCAGGAGGGGTGCTACCATGGAGAAGGCCCTGCCCCCTGTTTCTACCACCTAGCCTCCCTTGGCTCCCTTAATCCACCATGCATAACAACATTGTGATGACTAGTTTCTTTCCTGAGCTTGAATTCAGAAACCATGGCCAAATGCCATTTTTGGTGCCATCAGAGATGGGTGGTGTTGGGTGCTGGGTCAGCCTATCACTTCTCCAAATCCAGCTGGTTCAAGCTGCACTCTCAGACAGCCTCCTTGCTGCACGGAGGACAACCCCACCCAGTCTGCAGACTCTTCCTTCTCCTTTCAGCCTACTCATTCCTGAGGGCTCAGGCTGTCAGGTGCAAGCCACAGCAGCTCCCCTGCACACACCCAGTAAGAGACTGAGGGCAACTGGGCTTAGGCCATTAATTTCTATAGCAGGAAGTCAGGCCTTTTCCTCACTAATCTGTGAGTGGGGTGGAGTGCGTGGGAGAAGGGCGTGAACAGCACTGTGGGTAAGATCTTGCCCACTTTTGACTATAGCACGGATTGTTCAGCTCTCCGTAATGGGACTATTTTGGGACAGGGTTAACCTTCTACTCTGCCCTGTGATTGTTTTCCTG